AACGCCTGGGCTAGATGACCATTGATACCCCTCCCACTCTACCCACGGATTAGTCTAGCGCGTTGCCCTCACTATTAAATATTGCCTTAAACAAAACCGTAAACCCGTATCAGAAACAATATGCAACTTTTCACAATTCTCACATGTGGTAGTAAACGTGTTAAAATTTGTTTACCATACACTCAATTTTCAATTTTTTTATAATCAGGAAATGTGTTACCATGTGAGTAATATTTCCTTTATAATGTTTACAAGCACTAGATTGACTCCATCTGGTGTATACTTAGAAAAAGAAATTAACTATTGGGACAAGTAGATGTTTATTTAAGACTTGAAATTGAATTTTTCTTTTTGGATGAATAATTGACTGTTTCACACTTCGTGAAATGCGTTTTGATTACCTTCCGTTGTTTAGGCTAAATTTCCCAGCAAAACATTCGACAAATTTAATCTTCTATCAAGTTTTTTCCCCGGTGTCTTTAAAGTTTCTTGGAGGGGAATATTACTCGAAATAAATAAATATTATTTAAGTTTTTAAAAAGAGGGAAACCAATTCGTGGCAGATTTTCTGCATGATATTTTTTATTATAGGTATCTCAACAGATTTGCGATACCTTAGGTTTAAAATGAATTTTAAAATTTTTAAAATCTTTCTCGAAGCTTTTATTTTAGTTTTAATTTCAAGCCAATAGATTAAATTAAATTTCATATTTTCAATAAGCAAAATACTTTGCTGTATTTGAAAAACTAATTTAAATCCACTGGAATGGCTTTTCGTTTTGAAATTGCTGAAATTTTTGGTTTTAGCATCATTTTTAGCCACCCATCTTCAGAATGGCACAGTGGATAAAGGCGTTGGTTAAATCCAATGACAGGACCCAAAGAGTGTGAGTTCAATACTCGGCTAAAGCAATAGAGAACTTGGAGAGGGGAATTAACTGGAGATAACTGATAACTGACATCCATTAAACGTGGAACTTGAGCAGTCTACACTAGTGAGCGAAATAAAGGGTTCAGTTCGACATTCCAACCACCTGAAGAAGGCCGGAGCGTACGACGGCCGAAACATTGTAATAAATATGACGATGAGGACAAGAGTCCGAATAATGTAAATAGTGTAATTCTTTCCGTAAAATATATTTTTCTGAAACTTTATTTGAGTAATATTAGCGGATTCAAAATATAATTTATCTAATTTGAATCAAATATTACTTTAAGTTAAAATATCGTAGAAATACATTTTTAATAAAACAGTAGCTGTTTATATAAGCTGTTGACAGTTTGATGACAAATGGTTGCTTATCCATTTGTCATCAAGCTGTCAACTCGATTTAACATCAACATACGCGCGTCTAGAAACCAAGCGAGGTATTTCCACATCTCAACGCCTGGGCTAGTTGACCATTGATTCCCCACTAATGAATAACAAATTTTAAAAAAATGTCTGTAACGTTGCTATTGGATATTATCGAGAAATAGATTTTTAAAAAATGTCTGTTATACAGAGTCTTTATCCATAAAAAATAATTGAAGAATATAAGGTGAGCGCCTTTTATATATAATGTTTATGTACTCAATAATCTTAAAAATTTAGGAAAATATTCTCCATAAGCTTTATTGAATTTTAGATATTTTGGCTTTAAATTTACTATAGTTATCGCTCTTATTTTCTGATAATATCGTGTATGAACACCCATATCTACAAAAATCGGTACATATACAAAATAAATTAAAAATTCTTTTAAAAATATTGGTGTTTGATGATTTGTACTAAGCGTTTCCATTTATGATTAGTAAATATAGCTTTTATTTAATAATACTAATAGTAATAATAATAATATCATCTAAAAGGGTAGAGATAATACAGAATTAAAAAAATCAAACAAATTATTCTAATTAAAATTTTTAAAAATGAGAACAATTTTTGTAAAACTTAATTATTCATCGAAATTTTTTTCTTAAGACAATAGTGTCCTTAATATATCTTATTTATAAACGCAAAAGCTTTTAGAATTAAATAATGTTATAGTTTTATTGTATATTTTACGATTCAGAGTAGAATTTCGGTAAATGGTGCTTTCGTTTTACAAATCAAAATTGATTACTTAAATTCTCTAAGGAGTTCTGCTTTTAACTAATATAAATGAACATTTAATTTCTCGAAATTTCATAAAATTAAGTACGTGATGTGGGATGTGTTAACAGATTTTAAAATATTTTTATAATGTTTTTTTTTTTTAAAAAAAATTCTGAAATAATTTCATCATTTGTGAATAAGTCCTGAAAATTTAATCAAAATCCGAAAATTATTTGAGATAGAATTTCCAAATCAATGTGTTTTTTGTTTTTTTTTACCACAGAAAGAAATACGCTAAAATGTCCCATACTTAAATTTGATCTCCCACTGACGCAAGAGAAACAAGATTTTTGACCAAAATTTTGTAAGTGCTAGAAATGATTAAAAATAATTAAATAATCAAAAAATACTTTGATTTTTCCTTTTAATAATAACATAAACGTTTTGACGATAAATTTTTGTTATATCAAGTTTGGAGCATTTATTTATCATCTCTTTTTTCAGTGAATGTAGGGAGGTACCTAGTTCGCTATGTAAATCTGTCGCCGGAAGCTATTTTTAAATTGGTTATCTGAATAAATGTGAATGTGACGTAATACATGTGACTGAGGTAGCTACGTGGTTCAAAATACCAATATTGTTCGTTGTTTAAACCTTAAGTCAACATTTCAAATGTTTGATTTTAAATGCAAGCACGCACTTTCCACGTGGAAAATTGGCACAAAACAGTTTGCTGTCTTCATTCCGTTCCATTTCAGTTTTTACCATGCTTCGTAAATATCGACATATAAATTCATTTAAAAAAATAAAATAAATTTAATTCTAACTGGTTTATTTAAAAAAAAATTAAAAATGTTTCTTGCTCGAAGTGTTAAACATATACTTGTTTAAGTTATAATGCTGAAGAAAAGATCATCTATAATTCTTTAATAGAAAATTCAAGTTAAAAAATCTCTGTAAAGTATCTAGCCATTGGATATTATTATTAAATTAAATATTAGATTAAAAAATGACTGCAAAGTGTCTGGTCATTGAATATTATCGAATAATAGATTTAAAAAATGTCTGTAAAGTATCTAGCCATTAGATATTATCGAAAAATAGATTTAAAAAATGTCTGTAAAGTATCTAGTCATTAGATATTATCGTAAAATAGATTATGCAGGGCGTTGGTCGGTTAGTTGATTGTTTTTACTTCTTACAGTTTATCAAGCATTTGTCGAACATTTTACGGCTTATCAACCTATAGGGATTTATTTTAAGGCTTATCAACACATAGTGATTTATTTTACGACATATCAACACATAGTGATTTATTTTATGGCTTATCGACCTATAGTGATTTATTTTACGACATATCAACACATAGTGATTTATTTTACGGCTTATCAACACATAGTGATTTATTTTACGACATATCAACACATAGTGATTTATTTTAAGGCTTATCGACCTATTCTGATTTATTTTACGACATATCAACACATAGTGATTTATTTTACGGCATATCAACACATAGTGATTTATTTTACGGCATATCAACACATTGTGATTTATTTTACGGCTTATCAATACATAGTGATTTATTTTACGACATATCAACACATAGTGATTTATTTTACGGCTTATCGACCTATAGTGATTTATTTTATGACATATCAACACATAGTGATTTATTTTACGGCTTATTATAGTCATTTTACACATATCAACACATGATTTATTTTACGACTTATAGTGATTTATTTTATGGCTTATCAACACATAATGTTTATTTTACGATTTATTTATTTTAAGATCTATAGTGATTTATTTTACGACATATCATCAACATAGTGATTTATTTTACCTTATCAACACAGTGATTTATTTTACGGCTTATTTATTTATTTTACGACATATCAACACATAGTGATTTATTTTACGGCTTATTGACCTATAGTGATTTATTTTACGACATATCAACACATAGTGATTTATTTTACGGCTTATCAACACATAGTGATTTATTTTACGGCTTATCAACACATAGTGATTTATTTTACGGCTTATTGACCTATAGTGATTTATTTTACGACATATCAACACATTGTGATTTAGTTTACGGCTTATCAACACATAGTGATTTATTTTACTACCTATCAACACATAGTGATTTATTTTAAGTTGTAACATATTTTGGATTGTCAGAATAATTCTTTATTTCTGACTGAATATTACTTAAAATCTTTGAGAATAACATTATTTTCCAGGAGAAGTTCTACAATTTAACATATAGTTGGGAGAGGTGATTAATTCATATATTACCTAAGAATATTTGTGCTAAGTGAATGTAACAGACCTGAGAGGAATTCAAACTCAGCTCATTGATTTGTACTTTCGGGCCAATATTCATGTGACCATGCACACATCCACCCCTCAGAAACTGACGCCTTAGCCCTTTTCAAAGTACCCCCCTTCGCAATTCACACATTGAACCCAGCGTTCTTTTCACTTTTGAAAACAGTTTGTGAAGTTTCTATTTCTCAGCTCAAGATTCAAACGGTAACTACATTTCAGAATATAAACTTATTGACCCTCGCTAGTATATACTCTTTTAGATGTGTATGACTTTGTGGTCTTTGGATGTTTTGAAGCCCCGGAGATTAGGCTTGCTGCATTCTCGTGCCAATAGACCTGGTTTTCGACCGTTTGATCATCTGTGGAGATGATAATGATGATGATGGTGATTGTAGAAAGTAATTTCTCATTGGCGCCCCAAAATTGATATCAATCAATTATACTTCGATGGAGATCACATGCACAAGACAGAAACCTGAATGAAGAAAATCTTTTGAAATTTAATACCGTTTTCAACTTTATTAATTTATAATTGAAAAAGTTCTATATTATTGTCCTGTATTTAGATGATTTAAAGGCTCACAGTTGAGAGGGAAAAACATAGATAGATAGATAGATAGATAGATAGATAGATAGATATAGATAGATATGAACAGAATGAGATAGATAAATATGAACAGAATGAGATAGATAGATAGATAGATAGATAGATAGATAGATAGATAGATAGATAGATAGATAGATAGATAGATAGATATGAATTGACTGGGATAGATGGATATAAATAGATATATAGATATTAACTAATTGAGATAGACAGACAGACAGCTAGATAGATATGAAGAAACTGATATAGGTAGATAGAGAGAGAGAGTGACAGATAGATATGAAGAAACAGATAGATTGATCGATAGATAGATATAGAAATATGAACATAATGAAATAGATAAGCAGAATGAGATAGATAGATAAATATGAAGAAACTGATATATATATATATAATATTCTCATCTATATATATATATATTTAATTAATTCATATATATATATATATATATATATATATATATATATATATATATATATATATATATATACATAGATATAAGAAACTGATAGATAGATAGGTAACTGAACACAATGGGATAGATAGAAACAGATAGATAGATAGATAGATAGATAGATAGATAGATAGATAGATAGATAGATAGACTATGAATGTTTTTTATGCATCCAACTACAACTGATATGACATTTAACTCGAGTAAATACGGTGGGTTGTTTGTGCTATTGTCTTCATGGATAACATCGTGGAGCACGATTACTGAATTTTTTATATTTTAAAAATATATTTTAGAAGTATCAGCTTCATTTATATTCAACATAAAGATAACATTACAAAAACAAACTAAAGCAACGCCTGAACTAAAATTTAACTCCAGAGCAATTTTATCTGCAAGCAAACATATGCAGATCTTGATATGAATAGTTATAAAAGCTTCGGAGTCACTCAAATAGGAAAATTCTTAAGGGAAGTACAAGTGACACCGGCAAATGAGGTCATGCCAAGGGAGATAACAAATGTTCTTCATCTGATGGAAAAGAGATAGTAAATAACACCAAGAAATGCCATAGAATAGCGGATGTTAAGCTAAAACATTAGGAATAAATACTAGCAAATCTACAGATATAACAAAATTAATAGGGAAATTCAATCAAATGATATTTTTATAATATGGTTCTATGTGTGGTTTTAATATTTCATAGCTTGCTCTAACCTGGTGATTTACCTCGAGAGCTTAAACATGAAAACTTTTCATAAAATCATTTCTTATTTTGTTCTCAGGAGCAGCAACAATCTATTTGTCGAGATAAATGATAATTTTTAGTAAAATGTTTTTACATTTCTCATCTTTGTTTCAAGTCAAAATTAAAATGTTTTCTATTCTTCTTTCCTCGTTATTTGTTGATCAAAAATACATTATGGTTGTCGACAATCTTTAAATATAAAAGTAAAATATTTTGTTATTTGGGTGAGCAAACAAAACATTGTTTTTTCATATGACGCAATGTTACCATAATAATACTTTTGAAACACCATACCCCAAAAAAGAAAAGTTAAACACACAAAATTGTCTTTAATTATTGTAAAAATCTTTGGTGTGATAAGTTCTATTAAAGTTTTCAATTTTTGCTTAGTAAATATAAGTCATCACTTAATAATATAAGTCATCACTTAATAATATAAGTCATCACTTAATAATATAAGTCATCACTTAATAATTTAATAACCGTTTTATTGTGGAGTTTAGAACAGTTTTTAAAACATTTTTGAAAGTTTTTCAATTATTATAATTAAAAAAAGCAAACAATTCTTGTAAAAATTCATTATTTATCACAATTTTTTTCTTCAGACTTTAATGTCCTTAATATATATTAATTGAAGAAGTAATCAAAAGCTTATCTAATTAAATAATTACTTAGTTTTATTGCAGTTTTTATTTTACGAATTGGAGCAGATTTTAGAAAAGTAGGTGTAAATTAGGAAAAAAAAATGATGATTTACATTCTCCAAGGTATCCTGCTTTTAACTAATATAAAAGCGTATTCACGTGTTTTAAATTTTAGAAAATTTTATGAAATTAATTAAGGGGCGTTAACAGATGTAAAAACCTTTTTTTTACCAAGATTTACTAAAAATAATATTTTCATAAATAAATTCATTCAATTGTGAATAAGTCCTAAATGTTTATTAAAATCCGACAATTATTTGATTTTTGCAAGAATTTCTAAATTAAGGATTTTCAAGTGAAGAAAGCGCGAAAAGAACTAATGCTAAATATTACGTCACTGTTGACGTAAACCCCCCCAAGAAAAAAAAACTAGATTTTTCACCAAAATTTCGAATGTACTAGAAAGGATTAAATTTTTTTTAAAATAATCAAAAAATATTTTGGTCTTTTCTCTTAATAATAACAACATAAACATTTTTGCAATAAAAGTTTGTTTTTATTAAGTTTGTTGCCCTTTTCATCATGCTATACTGTTTTTCCGTACCTAGAATCATATGGTTTTACTTTTGCAAATTTCCATTTGTTGACAGTTGTTCATACTTTATCATATTCTTCAGTACACGTAGCTAACCAGTTTTTTTCGTCTCATTGTTGCTATTAGCAAACTGTTTCAGGTATCTATCTGGATTCTTTGTGTCAGTTCGATACATTTTTGCTTCAAATGTCCTTGTCTTTCAAGACTCTGGTTTTACACACTTTATAAAAACTGTCAAGTATTTTACAATGTGTTGGTAGAGGACGACGATAGAAAATCATTTCTTTATACAAACAGAATGGACAATTTGAATTCTGTTTACAACTTGTACTTTAGATTAAGATTTCTTTTGCTGTTGTCGATAGAAACACAGAATGAAAAGTAATGCTGCAAAACTGATGTGATTCTTTAATTCAGAAATAAAATAACAGCAAAAAATAAGAATGAAAAAAGAAAGAAGACAAAAAAAGACGATTACGCCAAATCAAAGAAGGCATTTTTTATTCTTTGATATTCCAAACAATTCAATTTTAAAAAGGATATTCGCTATATAAATGATATCTAAATCTGTTGAATATCAATAAGGATATGAATAATAATCACACAACAAAAAAACAAAACAATTAAATTAGGTAATCAGCAGGACACCTTGATATGAATGAGTCGACTGCATCATCAGACAGACTGTTTCGCAGCTCATGAGTTTGGACAGCTAGGATCGAGCCCCGACTGGATTGGCTTCAGTCGGTGGTTCTACCACTAAGCCGTTGAGGGTGAATTTAAGCGTAAGTATTTTTTAGAGAAACACACAGTGACTGAGAGAACTATATATATATATATATATATATATATATATATATATATATATATATATATATATATATATATAAATAAATTTGTTCTAATAACCTGGCTCAATTTTAAATGTGAATTAAATTTAAGCGTATAATGATTTTTTTTTTTTTTCATTTCAGATTTAACAACTTAAGTCTGTGTCAATTTCAACCATGCAAAGATTAACAATCAAGCAATGTGTTAAAGTTATCGATGCTTATTAGTCATTGGAACAGCCTATATAACGCGATTTCTTTATGATTAATATTACATGATTATTATAATCCATATTACAGGAAAACAAACGCAAATAAACTCAAGACAACTCGAGACTCGTTTCGAGATATCTGTAATACACCAGATTAGTAAATGACAGAAAAAATAAAATGATAAACTCATCAAACATATCAGTCGTTATCATAAAATGTCATAATCATGTAAACAAATACATAAAAATATCGAACATAACAGTAATTATAAATTATAACTTTATTTTGTTATTTAATGCTGTCAGCTTAGGGGTGCAGTACCCAGTGAGTATGAAACTGAGTGTAGTACTTATATTTCGTACAAGTTGAGCCTTCTAACCATTATACCGCGGTGAGGCATCCAAGATCAATGATAAACCAATTCCGAAGAAGGCAGAGCAAAATAAAGCAAATGTACACAGATTATGTTAACACCATCAGTAAACCATTTCAGTTCATTATTAATACTAGTGTTTTTATTTCATTTTTTTTTACCTAAAATAAATGTTTAACTCAATAAAATTTAGTTACCCAAAATATTACCTACGAAATGTTCATCTATAGAAAATTCCATCCAAACTTAGTAACTATTTAGGTACATGGTATACAATTATTTAAAAAAATAAATATAAAAATGAAGGAAAAGAAAGAGAAAGTGAAGAAGAGATCAAATGAAATGACAACGCAACTTAAAGGTTAATTCTTGTCAAATAGCAACGACGTTTCTGCGTTCAAATTATTATCATTATCATCATCGTCATCATCAATGTGCGGTTTTCCGTGAACGTTGCCGAAGGCCAATAATTATTTATATAATTTAATAATGTAAACGAAAATGGATTAAGAAAATAAATTGTTTTTAAATAGTTACGAACAAATCTGAAATAGTCTTCTTTAAGTTGTATTGATTTTTGATTCATTTTGTCATCGGCCCACGTTGAAATGACAGTCTATGCATAGAAAGATCAAAAGAGATTACTATGAAGTTGACTGGTGTTGTAGCGTACCTACCGATGATAATAGGTATTTTCCCATTCACATAAACATAGTAGTAAATACTGTATGTTGGTCTGCAGTTGGAGATTCATCTCCAGCTGTGCTGGTCAAACTCTCCCTCTGGGCAGAGAGGATCCCCAGACGAGGCTATGTCGAAAGAAATAGTCTCGTTTCGGGAAACATACTACCCGACACCGTTTTATACGTGGTCTACAGATAATTTTTGGCCGAGCCTAAGGGCTCGGATACCGCACATTAAATTCGGCCTTGTGCCACATCTGACCGCGTGGAGCGGTTGGTAGATATCCTGCAGTTGAAGATTCATTGTGGAATTCACTTCTCACTTCTAGCAGTTGACGGCATCTTCTAAGCGCCGCTACCGAATCTTACATGTGTTGTTCTTGTCCTAAGTATTAGCGTTCATTACCAACTTTCATTTGATTATTCTATTCAGAAACCTTCCCTATGTTACAACAATTGGCTTCTTAAAATTAATTGACTGCCAAAGATAATGAACAAGCAACATTTTTGTTGAGAAATCAGTGTAAAACCATCTCTATTTTTAATAAATTAGCCGCATAAGACCCATCTTCGAGAGTGATTGTTGCCAGAATATGTTTAGTCAATATTAGGGGGGGGGATTAACCCTACAGCAACGACTAACAAACTAGTTTAAGAAATAATTTATAGCAATTCGACGAAACGTTCATTCAGGATAACAATTAAATGTGACAGTTTGACATATTTTAAATACATCATCAACTGCTTCTTTCTTCTTAGGCCAGTGTTTGTCGTTATAGTCGTAGAAACGTCTAAATACAACTCAAATATTTTATTCATTGATGTTTTGTTGTAATCAAAGTTTGTTGGTGAGAGAAATGGAGGTTAAACAAAGGATGGAAGAATCCCTTTCATGCAATGTCACTTTTGAACGTACGTAACTCGCATTTCGACTGACTTTGCAGCTCTGTACAGATTAACGAGCTGACCGACGAATGCATTCGTTCACAATAATTATACGTATACTTAAATTCTTGTGACATTAACCGGTGCTTTGTTTTCACTGTATCACGATTAACATTGGCATCTACCTTATCAGATCATATTAAGCTGATGAATATATTTCAGTCACTGGAAAATTCACTTGTAGTCTTCAGCCAGGATAAACTAAGTTTAAAATAATGATTAACAATTTTCACATATCATAACATTAGTCTCGATTTGAAAACTCATCACTTCCCATATTTATAGAATAGTACCCGTCAAAACCAAGATAATAATTTGGATTCATCATCAACTTAAAACATTAATTTTGCATCTGTAAACTTCTTGTTAACCAAATGGGAAAGAAAACACACAGATTATATTTACAGTTATTTACTATGCTAACTCCAGTCTGCTACAAATTAGCAAACACGTAGCACCAAGTAGGGATGAAATTGGTCACATTTGTAAAGTTCTGCTAGACAAGATCACTGACCATTAATCAACGTTAAAACATTCCTATAGATATAAACTACTGTTAATTTAGTCAATCACTGGTCATTAATATGATTTCTTCTGTAAGGATCTGTCTCACAATCGTAATAATTAACAAAGGATTCAAGGTGAAGAATTTCCCCGAGGTATTTATTAGACTAAGCTCACTCAGGCTGCTATCCACCACTTTACGCCAAATGAAACCAACGGACATCTTGCCAAAACCTAAAACTCTTATCCAAATTAAGTCTCCAATAAATATGACAAAACTGAAAAAAGAAACAAAAAGGTCAACGGGAAAACTTCAGTAAAGTGCTCGAAGCCTAGATTGCATAGATAGAGCAAAAAATGCTATGAAAGGATGGCCGTAGTCATAACCCGAGTTTCAGGTTCACGCGAACTTCTGATGACTTCAATGCAAATGAAAGAATGGAAGAACAAGTTTTATATAACCCGTGACGATAAATAACCCTAAAGTATCACGAGAAAAAATAAAAAATATATTAAAAAAATAAAAACGGTTGATAACTACCTCTTCACAGGGAAAAAGAAAATAGGCAAAAAAAAATTTTAAATAAATATATATATATATATATATATATATATATATATATATATATATATATATATATATATATATATATGTTGTATTTAAAATAAACGGATTTATAACTTCTGTCTCTGTTTCTGAGATGAGATGTTGTAATTATTTACACCATTTACATTGTTCGGACTGTTGTCCTCATCTCTGTTGCCATATTCACGATGTTTCGGCCGTTGTACGCCCCGGCCTTCTTCGTGTGATTGGAATTGCGAACTGAACCCTTTATTTTGTCCACTGTGGTAGATTTTTTTAGTTCCACATGCTGTGCCTCTTCCAGATGTCTCAGTTATCTTGTTTTTAACTCAACTCTTCAAGTTTTTTCAGGTATCGAACTCACAACCTTTTGGGTCAAGTTACTGGATCCAACCAACGCTGAGTTATGTGTCCTTGAGTACATCAGTGTATGAATGTTTGGAACTTATAAACATTTAAATTCTCACTATCGTTTTTTTTACTAGAGCTCATATTTTACTTTTTTGTTATTATTGCTTTTCTCGAGCATTCTGTATTACTGGTTTCTTTATTGTATTTATTTCTATGTGGACCGGCTTAGGAGATTTTTGTGGTCTATCATATATGTTGATTCCTTAAGTTTTCGTAGTTTCCTCTGTCTATTATTTCAGTATAAAATCAAGATCGAAGCGAATAAAATAGCCACTGATCTAGAAATTGTAGATAGGATCCACAAATTCCACAAACACCAAGCATTCATCACAGTTAAAGATCACAAGACAAATCTTCTAATCAACCCTCAATACCGATTACTTAACCCAAACAAAAATAATATCGGTAAAATCATTAAAAACATCCTTGAAAGAGCATGCACATACATCAAAGTGCTCTAGGAATTAACCAGTGGCACAAAACAGCTGACACTATAGAATAGTTTACCAATATATAAAGGAAGAATGAATGTACATTGTGAATTTTACCCGTCCAACACCGAAAATATGCTAATGTCTGTCATAAATATAGCAAAAAATTACTGTCTGATTAGCGATCGCGAAATAAATATCATAAAGCAGGCGCAAAAACCTATACTTTTTCATAATGGTTATCTGTGGACCCAAAAATGTAACCCAGAATTTAATGTTGCTATGGCGGCGTATGATACAGCAGAGGCATACGAAGCATTTGGAATTCTATTATTATGACGACTTAGATTGATTTTCGACATCAAGGACTATATAGGTGCCATTTTCCTCCGTAAAACTAGCCCATGAAAGATGGACCGATTGAGAAAGGAACTGATAAAAGTTTTTAAAGATCACGAACTAAATATTTACCACCACCACCAATGCTAAAGCGATCAACTTTCTTGATATAACCTTAGACC